AAAAAAAAAAAAAAAAAATCTCGCAAAGTAATGACTGGAATATCTCAAAACTTTCTACGGCGTGTATGTATACTAAAAGAGACCAGAAAGTTTTGGAGTTTTGGGGTCAAAGGTCATAAATGCAGTAAAGTTCATTTTTACTGGCTGCTCAGTGATGAGATTGTTGTTGAGGTCCAGGGCGCGTGATCATGAATCTGTTCTCATGCTCAAGCATGGATTTTGTGCTCAAGCCTAATTTCTTCTTCTTGTAACTTGATAAATGGATAAATAGATCTTGTTTTGTCAATGATTTGGAAATATTTTGAAAAGACCTGAAACCAAATACTGTTTTCAATGTTTACATTTGACTTTTTGATCATTTGACATGATTAAAGCCAGTTATAAGAAAGTTGGTTTGAGCACAAAAACCATGCTTGAGAATGAGAACAGTTTCATGAATACGGGCCCAGATAGGGATAAGATTTTAACTAAAAGGTTATGATAGTGATATCAACTCTTGAGAGGAAGGTATGACTGACCTTGACTGAGATCAAGGTCACATTTATGGCCTTGAATGGAGATGTAGATCTTCATTGTGGCCTTCACCAGAGATAAAGTGCTTCATTTTGACTTTGTGGATTGTGACCTGGAATTGAAGATTTTGACGGTGACAATACTTTGCCATGTATAATGAAAGCTCTGACGTTTAGCTATACCTGAATATCAAAACAGTTGCCTTGACAATGCAATGATGTAACAATATGGACTTTAGTTTTAAAGATATTGTAACCTCATTGTCAAGGTCATGGTCATTACATTCAGGTTTAGGTCAAAGTTGTGGCTTTTTTGAATGGCTAAGGTCAAAATCAGGACATATATGTCAAAGACCTTCATTTCAAGGTCACATCTAGGTCCTTAGTATCATAAAAAGGTCCTTATTGCAGCATTGACCAAGAGATGAATGCCCTGGTTGTGACATTATCTTTGAGATGAATACAATAAAAGTGGCCTTACTTACTTTCGAGTTGAGTACAAGATTGTAACCTGGACATGAAGATCCTGATTGTTTTCAAAAGGTAATCTTCCTTATTGTGATTTTTCTTTGTAGTTGAAAGTCCTCATTTTGGCATTGTGATGACACATTTGGTTTTATAATAACCTTGCAATGGATATCCTGATTGTGACATTGACCAGGAAATGAATGTCAAGATTGTGACCTTGACCTTGATAGGTAGTTCCTGAACATTTCTTTGAGATGGACATCCTAATCTCGACCATAACTTTAAGATATGACATTGACAAGGAGATGAAGGACTTGATTTTGACCTTTAATCACTTTGAGATCGATGTGATTTGACTATATGATGAAAGTTTACGTTGTGACCTTTATTTTGAAATGAAGGTCGTGATTTGGCATTGACATTGAAATAATGGTCCTGATTGTGACTAAACCTTGAAATTTTGACATAGGCTGTGAATGCTTCATTTGTGATGTAGACCGTGAAACGAATATCATGACCTTGACCTTAAAATGAAGGTCATCATTGATATGACTGTTCATTTGGCTTTGACCTTGCAGAGAAAAGATGAAACCTGTGATTGCACTATTCTAACCTTGAGTTGAAGGTTTGGTTGTGACCTTGAGATGAAGGTCATAGCCTCGACTATCGTAACAATAATTTGTCCTTTTGTTGTGCCATTGACGTTAATGCAGTAAGTGGGATGTGACAGTCGTACTGGAAAATGTTTTGTCCATGTCTGCCTATGTTCTGTCTATACCTGTCAACGTTCTGTCCTGACAATAAATCTGTAGATGATTGCTTACAGATGATGGTGATTCTGCATCTTGTGACATCCTTGACTTGTAGTCCGTCACTGCTGTCATTCTAGTCGCGAAGCCTCATTTGATGTCATCAGGTGATGGCCAGCCCTCAACAGATGTTTCGACCCTTAATCACTACATCCTCCGGCTGGTGGGTCAGTAGTGGTGGCCAAACCACTACTCGTCTATGTCGGCTTCCACATTGGCTCTTCTCGTTTGTGCCATAGCCAGCACGATGCTCTCTCTGCAGCCTCTCCCAATCGTCTGATGGCGGTAGCTCTTGCCCTCCCAGTGAGTCCTATTGACTGTAGTGTCCTCCACACTGACTGTGCGGGGAAACCTCTACAGCCAACCTCCACTGGAAAGAGCCATACTGTCCATCCTCTGNTGAATGCCCTGGTTGTGACATTATCTTTGAGATGAATACAATAAAAGTGGCCTTACTTACTTTCGAGTTGAGTACAAGATTGTAACCTGGACATGAAGATCCTGATTGTTTTCAAAAGGTAATCTTCCTTATTGTGATTTTTCTTTGTAGTTGAAAGTCCTCATTTTGGCATTGTGATGACACATTTGGTTTTATAATAACCTTGCAATGGATATCCTGATTGTGACATTGACCAGGAAATGAATGTCAAGATTGTGACCTTGACCTTGATAGGTAGTTCCTGAACATTTCTTTGAGATGGACATCCTAATCTCGACCATAACTTTAAGATATGACATTGACAAGGAGATGAAGGACTTGATTTTGACCTTTAATCACTTTGAGATCGATGTGATTTGACTATATGATGAAAGTTTACGTTGTGACCTTTATTTTGAAATGAAGGTCGTGATTTGGCATTGACATTGAAATAATGGTCCTGATTGTGACTAAACCTTGAAATTTTGACATAGGCTGTGAATGCTTCATTTGTGATGTAGACCGTGAAACGAATATCATGACCTTGACCTTAAAATGAAGGTCATCATTGATATGACTGTTCATTTGGCTTTGACCTTGCAGAGAAAAGATGAAACCTGTGATTGCACTATTCTAACCTTGAGTTGAAGGTTTGGTTGTGACCTTGAGATGAAGGTCATAGCCTCGACTATCGTAACAATAATTTGTCCTTTTGTTGTGCCATTGACGTTAATGCAGTAAGTGGGATGTGACAGTCGTACTGGAAAATGTTTTGTCCATGTCTGCCTATGTTCTGTCTATACCTGTCAACGTTCTGTCCTGACAATAAATCTGTAGATGATTGCTTACAGATGATGGTGATTCTGCATCTTGTGACATCCTTGACTTGTAGTCCGTCACTGCTGTCATTCTAGTCGCGAAGCCTCATTTGATGTCATCAGGTGATGGCCAGCCCTCAACAGATGTTTCGACCCTTAATCACTACATCCTCCGGCTGGTGGGTCAGTAGTGGTGGCCAAACCACTACTCGTCTATGTCGGCTTCCACATTGGCTCTTCTCGTTTGTGCCATAGCCAGCACGATGCTCTCTCTGCAGCCTCTCCCAATCGTCTGATGGCGGTAGCTCTTGCCCTCCCAGTGAGTCCTATTGACTGTAGTGTCCTCCACACTGACTGTGCGGGGAAACCTCTACAGCCAACCTCCACTGGAAAGAGCCATACTGTCCATCCTCTGTCAACGTTCTGTCCTGACAATAAATCTGTAGAATATATATTCTAGCAATATAGTACATTCAGGTATGAAATATATGATCATAGGTTTTACAAATGGTCGGTGGGCGCAGTGGGTAGCGCACACGCCTTTCATAGAGATGGTCTTGGGTTTGACTCACCGATCAGACGTGAAAAGATATTGGGTACTTGCCCGACCACGTGTTTTTCTCTGGGTACTCCGGCTTCTTCCAACATTAAGACCCCCAGTGCGCTTCCATCCGCGCCATCAAGAGTGATTGAAATAATTTGAAAATACTTGCTTCATTGCTGTTGTAAAACAAATAGAATTATCTTTAATTGTGGACTTCATAAAATATCGAATGCACGTAAAGGGAAGCAGTTAACTATCGTCTGTAATTCCTTTTGTGATTCGGTTTGAAAGTAATATTTTCGATGATTTGAATTTGCTAAAGAAACAGAACAGATACAATGTACTAATCCATTATTCAATTCTACCTAAATAATTGATTAAGACAATAATAATTAATTCCTTTTTTCTAATTTTA